ATGAATGGAAGACGTGTTTGCATTTTGCTCAAGTCTCTAATTTTGTTCTTAATTTTTCATGTTTTATTATGTCCTTTTTAATGTCCCTTTTATGTTTTTCATTATTTTATTTTTTATGGCAAAACCGTCTTATGTCCAAATTAGTTATGTAGCAAATATGTGTGTGGGGGAACATACTTACTGGAAAAATATACCTAAAACCCTCGAGTACAGAGAATACCCATTTCCATGTACAGGAAATGCTGACTTACCCTTGCTCTTTTCCCTTCAGAAACATCTCTATCACATTCTAGGCAAAGAGGGTGAAACGGTCCCTACCTCAGGTCTCATACATCCCTGAGAAGCAAACCACCCTACACTTCCTGATGACTCACTCTGCAGCTAGGCTCGCTAGCAAGTTCTAGAAATGAGGACCTGCCTGGGACAAGAACTTCATGGCCTAAGCCACCAAACCATAAGCAACAGTCAGACACTGTTTCCTCCAATTTGTCCATAGAATTCTTTACTCTTGGAAACTTTCCCAGAAGGCTAAAGAAGAGGTACATCTCCAGGCTATGAGGAAAAAGGGTAACTCCCCTGTAGGGGATGGAGTAGGGTATTTTGAGGATCTGAATGGCACCCACCCCATGAATTTCTCCTGCCAAAGACGCCTGTTGAATCTGGCCAGATGCATGGGAAATGAAGTATGAATGGAAATGAGAGAAAGGAACAGGAGGGGCCAGGGGTTAGGGCTTCACTACAGCCAGACCTGCCCAGAATAATAAGCGGCTATACTCAACTCTGGCCTCCAGATTGCAGGCCAAACAGCTCAGCAGAGTAGACTCTTGCTCCCTGCCCTGCCTTGCCCTCTTCACTAAGCTGAGAGCCTGTGCTCAGGAGTGAGGTGGTGGCACTCAGAGATGCACTGGCTGTAATGCCAGCATCACTGCCATGCAGGCTGTGAGGTGTAAAGAAGGGAAGACCTGTGGGGCGGGCGGGGGCAGAGCAGGCTGGTTGCATCTCAT